CCGGATTTGAGCTATGTGTACACAATTTTACTCCAAACTATGTTATGTAAAAAGTTCCAAAAACTTATTTGTCCCAATATCCGTTCCCGAATTTGTTGGTTTCTAGACCAACACGAGACCGACTGGGATGGTTCGGAGCATAACCAACGCCTGCCGGGCCCTGTCCCCAAGGGATCACCTCTCACTTTTGAAGTCATTTATTTCTCTGAGAAGTCATTGAAAATGCGGCAAAATTGTGCTGAGGATATACTACTGCACTGCTAAACATGTTTTAGTAGAAATAAGTAAAAACTCAGGATATCGAAATCTTCGATGAACCATTGCCTGCGAGCTGGGGATTACCGAAAAAATCACAATATTCAGATTCCATATCTCCTGTCAAAAACATGCTTAGCAGTGCCGTAGTATATCCCCAATATATTTTTGCAGCATTTTCATTGACTTCTCAGAAAGATGAGTTCTCATGCCCTTATACCTGCGCATAATGGATGCCAGGTTACTGCCATACAAGACTGGTTTTGCCATTTTTGACCCCTGGATATCCCCAGGAGGATTTTCAGGGGTTCACACAAAATGGCAAAAACCAATCTTGCAGTAAACTGGCATCCGTTATGCGCAGGTACAAGGGTATGAGAACCTTCATAAGCAAGATAGGGAAGGAAGAAGAAAGATACTTAGGCCCGTATGCACTAACATTTTTGCGGCGAGGGGAGCGGCGTCCCCCGTTATGAAGGGATTGCGTGCGGACGCCGCTGCGGCTTCTTCATCATTGGGGACGCCGCTCCCCTCGCTGCAGGGATGTTAGTGCATGCGGCCCTTAGAGTAGCGAGATGTGACGCATCCCCTCTCAGATCCCCTCCCTTCCCCAGCGAGGATGTACGTGCATACGGCTCCAAAAGGTACACCTTTACATAATTTTTCGTTGCCGTTCGAACATAATTTTCGAAGTTATGGAAGAAGGTGAACATGAACACCTCATGTAAGTACACATATGATATACTAGTATAAAAAAAACTAACCACAGTGAGCGCAGCGAATGAAATGCGCTGCAAATAAGCAGCCTCGCAAGCAGCTGCTGAGGATAGCGGAAGACAACACTGGATTGGTTTTTCAGATCGGTCAGGATGGTCAGTTAAATATCCGGATGCGTGCCACGAATCCGTATATAATAAAGCTAACATCTGTGTGCACATATCTTTCGAATATAAATTTTGGAACAAACTTGGCGCACATACACTTCAAGAGCGCGTGTCGTAGGCTACCTTTCGTCAAAGATCGATGTCAATCCATTTTTGCAAAGTTCCACATACGACGCTGAGTTGGGATGGGGGAGGGAGAAAGTAAGTGAGCATGCTGATTACGAAAATATTATTGACAGAGGCATTCGGAGCAGGAGTGAGCTAATAAGCGATAAAATTTCTAAATTGTGGACCGCAAAACTAGTACACGAGTGAAAGTATTTTCAGTATCAAATCTCTGTCTTAAAAACAGAAAGATTTATATATGTACGAAAACTTGAAAGGAGAGCCATTTAATCGTGGTAACCATGTGGAAGTAATGATTACAGAAAAACTTTCTGCCTACTATCCCCTTGGCTTTATGGAATGCATTCATTTTCTAGCTTCCATTTTGTTAGAGTTCAGACTTCAGTACTCCTAATCCATTTACAAGTTCAAATATACAATTTCCTTTTTTTAATCAAGAAAGTCTTACCCCTATACCAGCCGCAACCCATTGCTTACTCTTGTAATCGCTGGTACTCCTCAACCCCGGCAGGAAACAACCTTCAAAACTCTTCCTACAAAGCCATTCCGCAGCTAGAAACTACATATATGAAATCAGCTTTTCAACCGCGTTATGGTGATATGTGCCTCATCCGGATTGGCCAAGCTGAAGTGGAATCCTTTTTTGTGAGTGGAAATCTGTGATTATCAGATGCATAGCAGCATTTCTTGCGCGCTAAAATAGCAGGTTCTATATGTTGGGCACAACGCATTAAGATTGCTATTTTAGCTGCGTCAAAAAATGTTGCTAAACATCCGCAAGAAGCCTGAGCATAACTGTAGATACCTGCTTTCAAAATGGAATAGTGAATCGCGAACTGTACAATCCTAATGCGAAGAAGGATATGGGAACACTAAACATCAAACTTCTGCGGCAGGCTTATTCATTCATTGTAGTTTCATGTTTTGAATGACGTGGTTCATTAAAAGCGGAGAATTGTCCCTATTTTGTAGTATGCAAAGGCTGAAATTGTTATTGTTATAGGTACAGAGCTTACAGGATGTGACAACAGTCCGAAATTTATAGTCGAATCGACAGGCGTATAACTCTTGGCTGTATGCCCTGTAAACAGAGTGCAAAGCAAAATTCAAATTTACTTCTCTAGATCAATCGTGAACCTTTAGGCTCATCTTGTTGCTTTTACAGCAACACAGGCTTTGCGAGTTATTATAATGCTGTATGACCTCGAAGTAATTGGCACAAAAGGTAAGTGAATTTTAGAAAAATTGATACCTTCTTCCGGTTCATGACATTTGTATGGAACTTGAGCAAGAAATTGGTCCCGAAATAGCGCTAGAAATGCTACATGTTGCAAGCATTCTTGCTTATCACTGAGAGGACGTCGCTGTGGCGATAGGCACGAAGCTACGATTTTAGGTTCCATCGACATTAAGCTGTTTCTTCTATACTTCATAAGGTATATGCTGCTGGCCTGGCTTCAAACAATGATCCCTGCTATTGCGGCTGAGAGAACATTTGCCTCACGTTATATCAGTGACTATGAACGTAAATATCGCTTGTGGATATCCTATACATTGACTGGGAGCGCTTTGATGCTGGCTATGTTGTTGAACGTGCTTGTTCAACTAGTAAGCATTGGTAAGTAACAGTGAATCAGCGTAGCGTAAAGGTAGCTACATCTTATTGCAAACAGCTCGAACGAACCACCAGAGTACGTTCTCACTATTTGCCAAAGGAGAGCTTTTATCTAGAGATTCGAATATTGGAAGGTCTACTCATTCGTCTATTCGTGTAACTCTTAACTCAAAGAATTATATGTATAGATGAGTCAAAAAGCCTTTGCTTTAACGTGATTGGGTTATTCGTTTATAGCACTATGTTTTATCATAGAAAGCTTTTTTGTAATTTGGTAGTCAGAACTCTTGAAAGTTGTTTGAGAAATATTGAGAATGGATTTGAGATCAGCTTTACATATTGGTTGCAACGGTGACTTGCTGAAGGTCACATTGATTTTGAGTCCATTCCAGTACAGTACTCAAAATTGGGTACGTTTAGAACTTCCGGTACTTTTCCGTTATCCGGACCCATTTTTTCAAAGAAGGGTATTGCTTCTATTCTTGTACCATATTTGGTCACAGCTTCATAGGAAGAAGTGTCAACATTTTGCCACGTGTCAAAAAAAATTTGACGTGTCATTTACATGGTTAACAGGTCTTACCAAGAATTTGTGGTATCCTACCTAGCGACGTAAGTTCAGTCTGTTTTTTAGTTAATTTTGACCTCATTTCGATCAAACAGGCTCAAAGTGAACGTTATCATAATAATAACGACATCATATTATCGACGAACAGATTAGACTTGCTTAGGATAGAGAATTGCGCTATTCCGTCATTTAAGAGGCAAAATAAGCAGCAGCCAGGTACTTCAGGCTATGGCCCGTAGTGAACCCCCCATCAGGGCATCTCTCTCGACGCGGACCGGCGTTGATCTCATCACGCCTCAGTCTAGCATCCGGCGAGCCATTGATCTGGATGCGGATCGCTTCCGAGACATTACAATTAAGTGCGTTCTTGAAGAAGGAACCACTTGAATTGATCTGGTCAAACGGGTAAGCGATTGGAATTACGCGTGCGCGGTCGTGGTTCGAGTCCGACTAGCGACGCACATTTTGATGCATCGCTGGGCAATCTTTGATAGCGGCCACTACGCAATCGATGATGACCGCTATCAAGGATTTCGCCTAGCAAATGCACGGATAAAACAAAAACACAATTTGTGACGAAAATTTTATGAAAAAAGAAATGATTGCAGCGTGAATTTAATGAAATGAATAAATGAGTTCTTGTATAGGACAGCTAGTAAAAAAAAACCAGTAAGGTTCACAAAAAAGAGAAGAATTTGTTTTTTTTGTTATCCTCGCCAAATTCAGCTGTTCATCGACCCCTCCTTTTCGGGCGCGGGTTGTGCAGTTTTGCGCCGATTTTGTCTGCATCTTTAGCCTGACTGATGTGTATCGTAAGTTACTCAGGAGCAACTTACGGGAGTCTTGTCTGCGTTTCCTCTTTTACACAGTATTTGCATCACTCTAACATCAGTTCACGTTCAGGTCACTTGAACGTGAACTGATGTGGAAGATTTGACTGCAGCAGGTGAACAGATGGTCAACTATCAGTTCACTCGCCATTTTTATAGCATGGGAGGGTGAGCGGTCATCAGTCCACCTGACGTGAGGTGAACTGATGGGATAAGTTCAGTTCATTTGAACTGATTGAGCTTTACTATGGACCTATCATTTATGGTCTTTTCGGCTAAACTCGCATGGCGAAAGGATTTGGAGAGAAACACATTTTCGAGTCACGGCTGAGAGCAAGCACGATGTTCTAGAATAAGGTTCATGATTGTTTTGTGCTTATGTAAAAACAGCTAAGCTTTAAAATATTCACAGATTCTCTTCTATCTCACCAGAAATAATTTCGACAAAAACATGTCAAACTGCCAAAACGTGTCAATTTTTTCGTGATGCGTGGCAAGGAGGCAGTCATCATAGAATCTAAGAAAAATTATTCTTAAACTAAAGGACATCCAATATGAGAACTTTTTGTAAAAATGGGTCCGGATAACAAAAAAGTACCGAACTTCCTCCTCGCTATTGTGTTTGATAGAATTTGCCTTGGTATTATTAATGCTTATTTGCAATGACAAACAAAGAAATTACAGAACGCTGTTGTAAAATCTTGATTGCAGGCAAACAGGCTATGGTTCCTCTTGCTGCACTCTCTTTGTCTATAACCATATTTTCATCAGTAGCCATGACAGTGGTGCATAGACGTGATGCCGCTAAGCTTCGCGATCTTGAAAGCATGACCGGATATTCGACACTCAATTACACATTGAGCATGAAGTTTCAACTAGCCGAAAACGTCCGCGTTACAAGGGTAATAATTTAGCAAGCATATAAAGGTGATCATAGCATCTCCAGAGATTTTCATTGTTCATTATACGTATCCTTATTTCAACTGGAATGAATGGCATGCAGTCTATTAACTCGCTTCGAGAATTCCATCCTTCTTTTTTTTTGAACGACTTATCTCAAAGAGAGGAACAATTCGTGAACAGTGCTTAAATCTTTTGAAAGCTTTTCTTCTGTTTTAAAAACTTCTCTCTTTTCACAAAGCTTGGGTCATTCCGTGGTTCATCAGCTAAGGAGGACAAAAACGCATGTGGTTTTTTTTACTTTTAGCTTTATTACCTCAAAAACAACAGGCAGAGGACATAGTTTCTTTTAAAATTGCAGGAGTCTGTGCTACAAAACGCTCATTGAGATATTCAGGAAATTTTCGAAGTCATTTCAGCGCAAACATAAGCTGACGTTTTCATCCTTAGAAGTCGCATAAAAACCGTAAGCGCAATGCAATCACAAAACATCTGCACCAGTTAATGAAATTAGGCTCAGATTATTTGAGAACAGGTGAACAAAAGTTTTCTTGATTTGGTGGAGAACAACTAAGAATCTAAAAATGCACCCTTTGTACCTCAGAGAGTGCATAATGGGTATATTAGTCAAATTTCTTGAGAATTTTGTTAAAAACGGCGAAATTATTAGGCATAAAGCTTAGCCGGCTACTAACCGCACAATGAGATGTGCTTGCGAAATTCACTACATTCTAGAAGTTCTGATTTGTCGAAAGGTTGCTAAAACAGGATGATTAGCCACTTTGCGTAGAAAGTGACTGCGATGATTTTATCCATGCATGAATTGCCAGGATTTGAGTATAGTTACACAATTTATTATGTTTGTAATGATCATTTTCAAAAAAGTCAATACTGAACTGAATTCGAGTTTCGAAAAAAGCAGAGCTTTCGAAACAACTCAATGGATGTGATACAATTGTTAAGCACATATCTTTTTCTTATTTTCATATGCAATGTGCAAAGTCGTACTCTTGTCAAATCCGCTTCAACTCCCACTGTTTAGAACATAAAGACAAAGCAAATTATTAATTGTAACATGCTACTAGTCGTAAGAGCCCAGAAATATGATGGTTTGATGTGATTGATGCTTATTTGAGAAGGAGTCTTGCGAGGAATTTTGACGAACGTTTGTGAAAGACCACTTTAAGCAGGACACAAATTGGGAGTAAGAGTCTCGTGGTTTCTTGCATAATTGGTGCAGTTTAGTGGCTCACCTACTCATCGCTTGGTTATGCTGTTTGGGCTTTCATTGGAGCTCTGTTCGCCTTTCCACCACTTTTGGTCTTTAGTGAAAGCGAACTTATCGGGCAACTTCTCCACGAGGTTTTGAACGTTTACTTTGCAGTGTAAGTGTTTTTAGCAATCTGATGAGCTGCTTTATAATCTTTCAAAACAAATTTTGCGAACTCAAAAGCACGAAATCAATGCAAAACATAAACTCTAAACTCTAGTTTTGAAAGCTAAATATGTTGTGACTTGGTTTGCTCACGCTGTTGACTATTTGATTTAGGACATTTGCAATCGTTATTTGGCTATCACTTGCGGCAAGTGGTGAATTACGGCATTTCTTGAATGCACTACTACCGCTCCGCAACCGCCGTATTTCCAATGCCTTGTATCTGAACACAGTTCCTCTCAAAAGCAATGATTCCCTCATCGCAACAGAACTGTATTTTACACATTTGAAATCTGCATGGGGTCCTTGATTGAGTGTAAATAAACAAATCACTGCCAAGATGCGAAAATTGTTTCATTGGTTGGTCGCGCTTTTTAGTTTGCTATTAAGATCATTCGAGGGAACCGCAACGAAATGACATCTGTCAAATTTGGGGCCGAAAGTGGAGGGGGTGTGGTAATGTTTATACGCAAAGACTGCCGACGTAGCGTTCTTTTGATCGAGCGCTCTTTCGTTTCTCTTACTACCTGTTGTCTTTCCCATGCACGAACTATCTTAATCAGACGCAAAGGCGCCCAGTCTTCCCGTATCATGAATCGAGTATGCATAATGAAGAAGCTTTTTTAACACTGACGTGCCTTACGCGTCCTTGCTCAAGGCTCAAGTATTTCTAAATTAACAAGTAAGTAAGTAATCCTAAATCTGCAGTTCCTTCATGATACCAATTTGATTCCAATACTCCTTCACTTTCTCTTGGAAAGAAAATCCGGTGCTCAAAGGCGCGTACCCCATAATTTCGCCACCGAAACCCCCAAAGAACTCTGATTCCCAAGGAGCCTCTCTTCAGGGCGAGCGAGTTTCGAATTGCTCGACCTCGTCGGGATGACAGCGAGCAGCAGCTGCAAGGCACGACAGTCTGCAGTTGCAACTGCAACTGCAGCGTACGCTTACAGCATACGCTGTCGTAGATTTGTCCGAAGGGGGCGGACCGCAAAAAAGAGGCGGAGCGCAAAAAGAATCAAGCGCGTTTCCTCCCCTTATTGTTAAAAGCAACAGAGAGATCGGACCAGCGCAGTTGATTTTCTTCGGGTCTTACGTATACACAGTATAGAGAACTGGGTAGCATAGATTCTGGGTGTATGCTGCCTTTAAGAAGAAAACCGTGCTATAATTGCACTGTAGTGCTTGCACTTAGAGCGGATGTCGTAAAATTTTATCTGTCAAGAGAAAATCGTTCAAAGTACGTTCGCCACCCCTTACATCAAATGTTGATCATTCTTGTTTACCAGTATCTCATTCCGAGCTGTGTCAGACTGTCTGATCCTTTTTATATATAAACTGGAAACATCCGGCGAGACGACGAAAACTACACATTGTTCACCCACAATGACGACCTCCTTCAGCGTTGCGGAGGGGGAGTTGTTGACAATGTGAGCACGCGAGACATCACACTCTCTCGCAGAGGTTTTGGACGATAAGAGATTTGGACAAGCGGTGTGCTCCTATCCGCAGACAAGCGAGAGAGGAGAGGGTTGTCTCGACATTTGTCAATTGATCGCACCCTATACCGCATGCGACGACGACACGTGTTTTGAAATCTTCTTCATGGGTGCTCCTCTGCGATCGTCTTCGTGAGTCATCAATGCCTCCAACACTTCCTGTCATCCCAGCTGCTTTTCTTGAGGCGGCTCTATCCATCGCTCACATTCACATTTTATTTAATGAAATTTTTACCTGTCGTAGAAGCTATGAGTGTCATTGGCACAGGTCGAAGTGTGTTGCACAAAATTGGCTATCTCTTGAAAATGTCTTGCGGAATTTTATACTAGCATACTGGTTTCACGCTTGAGGGCAGGGATGATTGTAAAAACAGTCGAGGCGCATCGAAAACTTGCAGCAGAACTAGGCCGTTTTCAAGCTCCTTATATTTTAACAGTATAACAACAACAATATATTTTAAGGTTAGTAACTCACTTTTATAGAGTCAATAAAATAAGCAAAATTGTTTGCAATTGTTAAGTGATGCGTCGCGTATTTCATGTATTCAAGGAAGGTACACAACACCGTTTGCTCAGGTTGCCTTATCAACTAACTGTGTACCCCGTAAAAGTGTATTAAACAACAATTCATACAGATTCGAAAGTTCAAAGAGTAGGATTCTACAAAAATTGTCTTTTTCAGAATGGCTCCTCTCTACATAAAGCGTTTTAGCTAATAATTTTATTTTTGTCTATGAATATGCGTCTAAGAAATATTTGATTAAAATAAGTGTGATTCTCTAACAAAAGAGTGCTGTACAAGTATAGAATCTTGTGCACCTAGTTAACGAGAGCCTTATCTAATCCAATTATTGATTGGTTTTTTGATGCTTCTGCTCGGGTTTTTTCAATTAAAAGTTTTTTTCCAAATTCAAAAACCCAGAAGATGTAAATTTGTCACCTTTCTAGTGCCTATCTAACTTTGGTGAGACAATTTTGCCCCACTTTTGAGTACTTGTGGTTTGCATCTAAAGGTGGTGCTGAAAATTCTCCTGGAAAATTAAGGCATCAAAACTTTCCCAGTAAGGAGCCTTGTGCAGGGAGACAAAAGCAAAGTGAATACGCCCCTTTTGGATATTGATGGCGATGTAAAAGCAAATTCAGATTTTGGTAGATTATGCAAGAAGAATGTTTTGCTGCTTTTGAGATTATGAGAGAGTATCCAAAGTTTCTTGCCAGAACATTTTGAGGTCAGTGCACATTGATATAACTTATAGTGGTGAGTCGGTTTCGCTCTCCTACTGAAGAGTGGGTATCTTGTGTAATTGACAGTTAATCCAACTGTATACAAGTCGCTACTTACGACTGATGTGACCAAGAAACACGTGGCTAGACAGGAAGATTTATTGCAGAATGACTAAGCAAAAAAAAGAACAAAGTTAAAAATGAGTTGCTAAAGAGAGAGGGAACACAACACCTTGGTTTTTACCATGTCCAAATTTCGCAATTTTTCACTATCTTCTTTTTTGACTTTTGGAAAAGATTTGATAGCAGTCGGATAGAGTAAACAAAGTGCAATTTGTGCAAATTTTCGGCATCTATAGCTAGCCTTAAAACATTCTAAAATTATTTTTCTGATGCTATCAAATTCCACTTTTGGGGATGCCAAAAGCCATAGAACATAAGACGGCGTACAACTAAGGTGTCAATTCGATGCAGCTTTTTCTCCTCTTTCTATTGAGTATTTTTCTTTTTAGTCTATAGATTTCGGCGATAAAATTTTCATGATTCTTGATTTTGAATCCACTTAAGGGTGCACACGTGAAATGCGAAATCTTATGTTTCGGAGCGGTAAACGCTCACTTACTTTGTAAAAATATTGTACAATCATGTACGATTTTTAAAAGTTTCGAAAACCGAAGATTTGTTAATGTTCAGAGCGTTTGTGTGTTTTGTGATTTCGAAAAAGTGAAGACTTCTGAAAAAGTTATTTCAAAAAATAATGAGAACCCAGCTGAAGTTGCCAAAAGATTGCATTGCATTGCACTTTGTCTACTCTATCCGACCGGCCATTATCTCACTGACTACAAGAGCGAGCGGCACAAAAATACGACAGTTGAAAAGGGGAAGAAAAGTTGCGTCGGAGCCGTTTACCTTACCACCGGTAGAATTACTTTTTGGAACGGATTGCGGAGCAGATCACCACCGGGGTCAAAAATATTTTGGGAACAAAATTAGGTGGGCGTCAAGAGTGCAGATGCGCCATTTTTGATATCCCTCACCCTTGCAGCGATTGTACTGAATAACAAACTTAAGTCTTAGCCAGTGTCGGAAGCGTTAGGATAATATCTAGATAGGACAGTTTGAAGTTTCCATTATGGCAAAGTGATTCGATGTACTTCAGATTTGTTATTGTGTCTTAGTTGATATGTTGTCTTAGTTGGTATGAGCGGACGCAAATTCGCGGTATTGCTGGTGAATAGCAAATCTGAAGGCAGATTTACGCCCCTGACTGCAAAAAAATCTACCCAGAAATAGTGGCTGAAACAGTACCTAGCATCAAAAGTGATATCATTGCAAATCTAGAAATAGAAGAAAGTTTGAGTTGTTCATTGATTTTGTTTGCAACGAGAAATTCGAGAAATATACAGTGTGCTTGACCCTTTACTGTCGCACTCTGAAGAGCGTTAGGAAAATTTTCATAGTCATCAATGAGCTTATCCCAGCCAGATTTTTATGATGATTATCGAAATGTGTTAGATGATGGTTTGAAAGTTGATCTGTGGATTTGTCTGATCCAATTCGGTTATCAACAAGCACGGCGGCTTCGAATCCATTCTCCTGTTCCAGCTGATCAGTACTTGAGAAAGGTGTGCTACACTTTGATTGCAGAGTCATATTGATAATAATACCAAGACGATCATCCTAAGTCAATAAAGCTTATGCATCGCTGTCTCTTTGGTTCAGCAACAATTGTTATCACTCCTTGAACGTTTTACAAACATTACGTTTCACAAACTGCATACTAGCGTTAATATCAACGGTTCGCATGCCGCTGTGGCTGACTGCGCTACCTCTGACGCGTCATTTTCGGTGGATTGGGTGCTTTTGTCCTCCTGTACCAAAAACAAAGACAAGAAGACTTTGCCGTATACCTAAAGCGATAAGTTCAGGGCACAGATTATACGCAACAATTTCTTTCATTCATTATGTTTGTTTCCGCTTTCGCAGCTTCTTTGATCAGAATGAAAGGTTTAGGATTTACCAAGAATGGATGAAGTCGCTCATACATATTAGGGTGAACGGCAAAAATGGAACAGCTTGATTTTATAATATTTCGAAATTTTTTTGTTTCAATCAACAACAAGCAGGCTGCAACTTAAACGTCGCTTACCTAAGGGGCTTCGCCTATTATTCTGCTGAGGCGCTGACGCTCCTCTCCCACAACCCTCGCGTGGCGCCGTGAAGAACTCAAACAGGTTTTTTCAACCATCTCTCATTCTTGCGCTGTTACACCGTAAAGTCATAAAACAATTGATATCATTCAGAAGAGCTCTTCATGCTCTTTCAAGAGATACATTGAATTTTCTTCTATTTCTAGACAAAAAGGTAAAAGACTCACAAAATAGCGATTTGTTGGCGCAGTTAAAACCAAAAAATCATTTTCAACCTATATCTTTCGAGGACAGACGAAATGTGAGGTAAACTGCATATGAATGGATAAGCGTAGAGAGGTCCATTAGAAGGTAACCAGATAACGTGCGTTTACTTGCAAAGGAATTGATAACACGCATCTTCGTTTCAGAAAATGTTAATGACCATCCTGACTTTACCCGTTGCGGCCAATAAGCCATCATGGGTTTGGTGACTGTCCCATTAGCCGTTGCAGCAGTATCTTTGATGATCTCACATTTTCTTTTTTCATGAATATCGTCAATGCGAAAAAGATTGCTTAGTGGGCAAGCTGCGACTACCTAATAAAGTTGAGCTGGACACTTCCTAAACAAACGAAGAAAAATCACCTTCTACACAATTTTCGTGACTTTCGGTGATGGTCTCAATGTAGACATGTACTTTGCGGAAAATGTATTCATGTTATGGGAAAAAGACCGAATGAGTAGACTGTCGTCTAGGTTGAGATCGACACTTTTTGGAGACAAGTACGTCTGGAAACACTCTGTTTTCCCTACTCTTTTTTAAACTCTATTGAAACCTTTGTTTGGAGGCTTACACTGCAGAAGTAGCATACACTATAGTCAAGTTAGTCAAGTTATAGTCACTATAATTATAGTCACTATAGTCACTTTAGTCAAGTTTGAGAAGTAATTGTCGGTCGATACTGTGCAAGGAAGAAATTTTGTAGGAGCTTTTTGAACGAAGTTACAATTTTGTTTTGATTGGTCTTAAGGTTTTCGAACGCATGGTTTTTTTAGTTTTCGGCTCAAAACTTCGCGTAGATCACAGCCGTTGCAGATATCCGAGCACGGTCTTGTAGAGCTAAGTTTGCTCTTTCTAATGATATATCGAATCCTATTTGGGATACAGGATTATTCCGGATTATTGCGGTCTGTACCTATATTGGTGCGGGAATTATGCATCAACCTAATATTTATCGGAATTGCATGTCAAGTTCTACTTCTAACATCTACAGTAGCTGGAGGGAACGTGGTGTCGATTATAACCTTAGCATTGCGCGGTGGATTTGTTGCGCGAAACCTCGGGAGCCACATGTATTTTTTTAAGATTACTTTTAGACGCGCATCGCTAGCATGGGACGGGCCCTCGCTTCGTGTTTTATTCAGTAGTAGTGACCTATATAGTTTAGTTTTTGTCTTTTTTATTGTAGTGCGTTGTCATAAGGATAAATCACTTAATCGAAATCATGTTCTTTCTGTCGCGCGTTAGCTGGGCGGTAGGATAGGTACGTCGCTTACAAGGGAAGCTACCTAACTTAGCTCGGCCTTTTCTCAAGAAACATAAATGGTCTGAATCAGCTTCAAATGCTGATTCCAAATATGCAATTTCTAGCTGCCACGCACCATTCCGAAGCGAGTTATGGGCTTTTTCCTGCGCAAAATTGGCATGCTTATCGCCTCATGGACATCATTTCATCATCATTTACGTGCTGATACACTTGCGTTAAGCTTTTTTTAGTGAGAAAAGATTGGATTTGTACTATATCAATACCTCAGCACCTTTTTCTTGCAGATTATTATCTACAGGCAGTCTTCTCATGTTCAGTATTGTGCCAATTTTGCTAGTAAAAAGCCCGTAACTCGCTTCGGAGTGCATGGCAGCTAGGGATAGCACATTTGGAATCAGCGTTTGAAGCTGATTCAGAATATACAGGGTGTCCCAAAAAAATGTGAACATTGTTTGATCGTTAATAACTCTCTTGCTTATATGTCTTTTGCCGAGCTTGAGGCATCATTCTATAGAGCGAGGTCTAACTTAGATCTGTAGTATAAAGCGAATCGCCAATCTCTCTTCATTACTGTAGGATTACGGTAAGAATTTTGACAAAGATTTTAAACCGTTGAAAGCCATATTCTGCCTCGGAACAAAACTAAACAAGCCAAAAACTTTTATACATGGGTAATGGAAGCCGCTGAGTTCAAATATGAAATTTCCACTTTACTGTGATGCTTCTTTCCAAGATTATCCCAGGTAAACCTAAATGACCGAATTTCCAGCATTTGTCAAAAATGTGATTACACCTTCAAAAAAGCTAAAAACACTCGTAAAAAGTTGTGTTATGGAATCAGCGTGCGCAAAAACCCAAGAACACGATTTTTCAGATTTTTTGGAAAACATTTTGTCAAATGGCATATTTCATAATAGATCCACATGCCAGAAGTTCACACCGTAATCCTACAGTAATGAAGAGCGATCGGTGATTCACTCCACACCACAAATCTAAGTTGAACCTCGCTCTACAGAATGGTGCCCCAAGCTCGGCGAAAGACATGAAAGCAACGGAGTTATTAAGGATCAAACAGTGTTCACATTTTTTGGGACACCCTGTATAGGCTCCTGCAAGACGAAGGCGGTCGGTTCGGTGTACGACGTGGCTGTGACGCCGCTGTGAGCGGCTGTGACGCAGCCGAGTCGCAGCCGCGTTGCATATCGAACCAACCGCCTTCGTCTCGCAGGAGATTATACATACCTTTTACTAAAAGGCCGAGCTAAGTTAGGTAGCATTTCATATTAGTATCGGGCGAGCATCAGGCCTCGGGTTACATCTAGGTGCCATGAGCCCACCGAGTCGCCGCTTAGGCCGGCTTTCTGATATGAAACACATATATCTAGAATCAGCTCGAAACGCTAATTCCAAATATGCTGTTCTTTGCTGCGAAGCGTTTTTCTGACACGAGCATGAGCTTTTTAGCGTGTCATTGACATACAACTGAATACGGAAAACGGGCTTGCAAACGGAACTGCTCAAAAAAGTGGTGGAAAATTGAAATGACATTAAATTGAGTCATTTGGCCTTGATAGGGTGTATTATGCATTTGTACCACTACCTAGATGATGATATCGTAGCATCCGTAAGTCCGTCAACACGTAAGTTTTGCTCAGGAAAAAGCTCATAACTCGCTTTAGATAGAGTAATGCTTCGCAGTTATGGATAGCAGATTTAAAATTAGCGTTTTGAGCTGATTCTAATTATAGGTGTCGCTTTTTGAAAGGCCAACCTAAGTTAGGTGACTTTCCCTTTAAGCAACGAAAATAAGTTGAAGCAAATCGTTATAACTTTGTTTGCAGCGTTCTGAAAAAAAATTTGTACATACTGTGATTGTGTGCCTACCTTCAAAATTCAAATCTGTATGCCAAGCTATAATACAAAAAAGACAAAAACGTGATTTAGAGTTTACCTGCAAGCTCGACTAAGCACCTACTAATGTATCTGCCACGACCCACTTACAGCGACCCGTAGGGTCGCTAGTCTCATATAGGTTTACGTAAGACCGAGCTTCATTCTATATGCTGATGAGCCCGGCACGTGTTCGTATCTACCGAATGCTTCTGTAACAAATTTTCATCAAATAAAATCCATCTTTTGTATTGTTCCAAAGTGATCCAATAAGCTGAATAATGATATGAAGCAAGTTTGTTGGATCAGTTGTCACTCAATGAATAGCGTGACGCGAAACTTGTATTGTCCCTCTGCGAAGCTATACCCCCTACATTTGGGTGATCGAAACTTTTAAATGCATTCAACCAATTCAGCACTACTATAAAATACTGCGTAAAGGAAAGTAAAGAATTAGAGAGTGTTTTGTGTCGATTAGTGAGTGTGATAATGGTTCACTGATTGTGCCTTGTCCCTATAGGTTGTTTCAAAGGTTGCCCTGTCCGACTGGCAGATTATTTGATTTAGAACGTTATAACTCTTTTCAAAATTTATTTCTGAGCAATTCAAATTACGATTGGGCTAGTTTTTTTTCTACTATGAAAACTGTACGACGCATGAGAAAGGCGAGCTAGAGAGAAGCGATCGGAAAATTTCACAGTTTTTTTCAAAATCTCACTTGACACAATAACGCTCCCACATAACGATAGTCGGACACCTTTGGTAGCCATCGTTGAGAAGCCTATATTTGGAGATTACATCAGTCAAGGAGAATTCGTGTAGTTTTCGCTTCAAGTAAATTTTGTGAACGAATCAATTTGTGCCCTTCTCCATGTGCGATCTTGCCGACTTTCTGACATTTAATCTCATTTTACTTGTCGAATACAAAAGCTTCAGCTGATGGTCGCTGCTTGCCCCTACCTTGCTCTAACGTACACAACACATCGATTTTCGCTTGCTTAGATTATTAGTGCTTGAATTGCTAGGAGAGCCTTCAATCTTTAAAGATATTGTAGGGAAGAACACTTTTTTTTGTTTTGTGATAAAGACTCAGAGTGCATCGGGAAGAAGATAAAAGAACAAGCACAAAACAAAAATGTATTCAGTTCGTCCTAGGTCCCATAGATGTAAAGACTGATGACCCAACAATAACGCGATGCTAGTGGATGAATGAAATCGATCTGGTTTAAGCGTTAAACAGGGAGTCTTGGCCAGAGCAGACGTGAATCGCCTCAGTGCAACTGGCCTCTGCATCTCGAAACCCTACCGCCTATAAAAATGAAACAAGAACCCAAACCCATTGAGTGTTAACGAGCTTATGGACGGAAACTAGCTGAACGCCTATAAAGACTACAAAAGGTTTTTTGAAGGATAGCAGAATAAAATGGTATGTGTTCTGTAAAGCAGCCAGAATAGTCCATAGTAAGAATGTATCTTACGATTAGGAAAAGCTTTCGAAAGCGCAGAAACTAGAGCTCGAGAAAAAGTTGGAAAGAAAAGCCACTTTTCTTGTGGGATATGAGCTCATTTCACGTTAACCATGTTGGACTTAGGCAATTCTGAGGACACTGTGGAGATTCCCTTCATAGAACATTTTTGAGCATGTCTGCATCTTGGCAACTTCTGCTTTGGGGAATGTGATTTTGTAACTGGGAAGCATTTCGTTAAGATACAGTGAGCACTGAGAAGAGCAAAAAAATCTCTAAAAGGCATTCATCAAAGTTTTGTAAGTACAAAACTTCCAGAAATTAGCTGCTTTGAACATAAGGCATCCAAAAATTGGGCATAAATTTCGACAGCCTATTTCATCACGGTTGATTCGCCAGATACTTGTGACTTGGGTATCAACGAAGAGGAATAAGCTGTGCATGAGACTTTTGCTAATCAGCTGCAAATCGCAACACATCACAATCGAATGTAAAGCTGCCATTTCTCATATTGTTGCTCTGCTTCGCATTGACAAAGGAGCAAAATACGGATTGTACAAATACAAAGCAGGTGCAGGCATCCCCTCAAACTCTTTCTAACTACTTTGCATCACCCTAGACTCTTAACACGTTTCGGACCGGTGCTGCACATGGTGCAGCACGCTGCTTTGAAGGATCTTTGTGATGTTAACAGGAGGTTTTCTTTTAGTCCAAGGTTATGGAGTCAAAGGCTTAAGCTTCTACTTTCCAAATGACCTTATAGAGCTGTGCTGCCGATATTTGTTTGAGAGATATGAGGACAGATTGAACAGCAGTTGCAACGAAGTGCGGCAATGCGAACGACGCGTGCGACGTTGCAACATTTTTTTGCCTTGAGTTCCAAGAGAAAAAACTTAATTATAGTAATGATGTGTACAGTGTGCAACATAGATACTTTTGGATACTTTTAGAAATTAAGATCTTGTCCCTATCCTTCAAGAAAACATGAAGTCTTTCTCAAGTGACAAAATTCAAACACTTTGAAATATTTCAGAACTTGGGATATGGAGCTTATCTGACATTCTGATTACAGATATAGCACACAGTCTACGAAATAAGGTTCCTTTGTTGGCCAACGGCTGAAAGTACATTCTTTTTTGCCGCGCGCGATTTCGCGGTCCGAAACGTGTTAACATTCGGTTTATAGTCAGTTGTGACTGCTACTCTGATTCAACTGGCTTGGCGATTGGAAGGCGGGGCTTCGTGATTTGATTAAGGTTAGGTAACGATCAGACAGCATGCGAGAGAAAGAGACGCAGACTGCGTCGCGGGCGCGAGCAGCCTTGATTAGGTCACAAAGACCCGCCTTGTTTGACAAGCTAAACTTGTCTTTATTAAAAGTCATTTTTCTCAGTCGCATAGAGAGCTACATGTCCAAAATGAATCCTCGACAAACTCAGTCCTCTTACACTTCTAAAACAAAAATTTGCACGATCTAACATTTTAGTACTCACTTTGATTGAGATGGATAGAACGTTTATCAAACAAGCGTTTTCTGTTGACAATGATGAGCTTTGCATAATTAACGAGACTCAGTGCTTTCTGGTTCCCATACTGTATTTGAAAAATCTTTCGTCTTTCTTTAATTTATAGCCACAGGAGCTCCAGAGCTTGCAATCTTAGCCTCAGTATTCGATCAAAAGTCAATAAACGTCCATTTTTATTGGGCTGTTAACTAGGTCTTGCAACTACTTTTGAAACTTCTCTCCCTTCATATGATGCACTCAAATTTTTCTATCATGTAGGTAGTGACGTAAGCTACAAGCGCAGTCACATTCCTGCAAATTTCTGACGTTGCAGTAGGCTCACGGTAGGCCTATGGGTGTAGGGGGAAAATAGATTATTTCAAATTTGGCTGAAACTTTGCGTATGTCGCTATTGGCGACCACTCTACAACTATAGTCGCAAGATTGTTGCTGCAACTGCAATGAACTGGAGCAATTGCACGACTCCGCGCGATTGTTGCAGCACAACTACAGTTTAGACGGCACTATCTAGATTATTGAACTTTGACCCCAGAGGGGATATAAATAGTGGACGATTCAAGGGATGATCGCCATTTGTTTACAAGTCTTCTAAGAAAAGGGGGCGAGAGACAAGTACTGTGAGTAGTAGTAGTAGTAACAGTAGTAGGAGTAATACTAGTAGTAGTAGTGACAAGTATAGGCGTAGGGTTGATGTGTCGTAGTTGTAGTCAGCACAAGTACTGTAATAGTTACCTAACCTTACAAGTATAGCTAGTAATAGTGAGGTAGTTGTTAGATACTAACCTACAGGTCCATGTTACTGATTATAATGTTGTCAGATCTCACTTACTAACTCATCACCGATTACCTCTGTATATTGTTTCCGCATTTTGTGTTTGTTACTTATCAAAGATAAAGGAACCCAAGTTTGAGGTAATCGCCAAAGAGCCGGCGTGGCAACACAAGTCAAATTCTGTGCAAACGCAACCCACAACTGTACAATTCACTTCAATTTTCTACAGCGGTAGGTGGGTTACCTGACGTGCTGATTAAGAAAACGATGTTGATTTTGCACGGTGGAGGATTTTTGGAATGGTTATAGTAAATTTGCGGTATGGGTTCTCACGCTAAACGCAAAAAGAGGCGTTAATTTAACTTACGAATATAATATTCTTATCCGGCAGGCAAATAACCCCAGCACGCAAAGCTTTGGCGAATTCTTGGACTTTGACTCCTTAGTGAATGACGCTTGTTCCTAAGCAGCTTTGCGTACTGCAGCTCATTCAACTTTGTAAAGGCGCCCAAATCTTGAGTTGTCTTCGAATTCCATTTCTTCCTTACTGCGCTAGATAAGCCAACCTCTAGCAACAATTTGTGCACACTTACCATGTTGTGCATGATTCAGGTCAAGAATGCCTTCAGTTCAACTTAAAGCTCCGTAAATCCTCGATTTTCACCACGAAAAACGTTCGGATTTTCTATTTTTCAATCAGAAAGCGAGTAGTTTGCGCCGTTTCATAGCTTGTACGGCAGTCTATGCAATGTCAAAATTTGAGCGCGCCAGTATCAAAAAGCGAGAAGTTACGGACTCATTTGCAAAACTTAGTTAACAGACTGATATCAACAATCCGTCAGGATCTTTCAGTTCATAACTTGAAATCGCAATACGTTTCTGACTGTCGAATTTGCTTTCCGTCCATTCGAGCATTCACTCAATGTGTTATATCAACTCATCTTACTAAGGATAAGTCAGAAGTTGAAGCGGCCTATCTCGACTTGTTGTCTATCGTTGACCATGTCAGGCTAACAAGGGAATGGTCAGAAGTCGAAGTGGCCAAACCAAGCAAGCTGTATATCATTCGATGCAGTATAAAACGCTGACTTCAAATCTGTCTTCATTATCTGCTTATCGCTTCTGTAGAGAAAGATACAGGCGGTTTTATTGTGAAAAGTCATACTTAAAAACAGCGAAATTGAGCACATCGCTGCACTTTTAGCTCAGCTTCTGCCTTTAAAAATTTAAAGTAAGCTAGCTCCATGTTTTGGCCCAGCATTAAGGCGAACATGGCTCTGCACGATTTTCAGTTTTACGTACAATTTCTTAGCAAAATAATGATCTTTAATGGCTTATAGCTTCGTTCAGAGAAGCGGTCAGCAGGTAAGGAAGACAGATTTAGAGTCAGCGATTCATGCTGCATCTAATAGTTTGCAGCTTGTCTGAGTTGGCCGCTTCGATTTCTGACCATTCCCTTGTAAATACAGACCTGCTTTCTGTAATATAACTGCTGCGCGCTTTTCTATACAAACTATAGGTGCTAATTTAGGCCAGAATCTCAGCCTACTGCTATTAAGGCTGGGTTCATACTGATTCTCATGTTCCGGAACTGTTCCCGCACAGTTCCCGCACTGTACTGTAACTGTTCCGGAACTGTGCTGCATGCGCTGCAACCGTCCCGCATGCGTTTTGAACGGCGGGAGTTGGAGAATTTTAACTGTTCTCAACGGTTTTCCTTTCAGATTTCTCTCATTTTGACCTTATTCCTCCACCCCGCTTCCCTTTTTGATCAGCAGAACCTCGAACTCGAAGCGGGGTTGAAGAATGAGCGCTTTTCTGCTTCATGTACCCGGGAAGATGGACCTTCGTGCGCTCGTCCATCTTCTCTGCAATTTTTGTTCAGGCCTACTTCTTGTGTACTAGAGATCTGTCTATGACTTTCAATACAGATGCGAGACTACGCAGTGACTTGCTAGGACACATGAAGTACGTTTGAACAAAAATAGCGATAAGAGAATGGACGAGCGCACGAAGGTCTATCTTCCCGGATACATGGAGCAGAACAGCGTTCAATCCTCAATTCCTTCAGCTTTGCAGCTTTTCTCATCACAAGAAGAAGCGGGTAGAAGAAAGAACGGAGAAGCAACGATATGGAAAAACGAAAGGGGCGGATAACGCTCAAAATCATCAAAAACAAGAGACAAGTCCCAATTCATGCAGTTTCAGGATTGCTTTTGCTCCCTAATTCGTGGGAGATGACTATGGAGACTACGCAGCCGCTTCCTGCAACAAATGAAGTAGTTTTGAGCAAAAATCACGAAGACAGAATAGACAATCCCATGACCGCCTATCTTTCCGGATACATGGAGTATAAAAGCTCTCATTCTTCAACCCCGCTTCGAGTTCGAAGTTCTTCTGATCAAAAAGGGAAGCGGGGTGGAGGAATAAGGCCAAAATGAGAGAAATTTGAAAGAAAACGGTTAAAATTCTCCAACTCCCGCCGTTCAAAACGGTGCGGGGCGGCTGCAGCGCATGCAGCGCAGTTCTGGAGCTGTGCGAAAACTGTGCGGAAACATTTCCAAAACATGGGAATCAGTATGAACCCAGCCTAAGACAGATAGCTAGGATAATGGCATGGAGAGCTGTGGAATGATTCAAAATCCTGAGTTACAAAAATCAAAGCTTTCTGCAACCTATCTTTGCAGTCATCATTGTTGCACAAAGTCACTAACAGTTTCACGCTAGCCGGACTTTTGAAGACCTCGAAAAAATTTTCCTGAAATTTGATTCTGATGCTTGTTCTGGAAAATGGTCACAATAACAAAAAAATTGAAGATTGAGAGAACAGTAAAAGAACAGATGCTTTCTGTCTCGAAGAGTAGATGATTTTTCTGCTCAGCGTTGAAGAGCAAGTGGAGGATGGCGTACATCTAAGGCCTCGGGCATACCTCACGCGATTTCAGTCGCGACGCGATTTGGCAATACTCCAAATGTTCATAACTCATCGTACGGAGTTTCTGAATGCACGGAAGATGGGGCATTCCATCAACCTACGAAAGTTATACATGCTCTGCATCTGGGGTCTACCGTATTGAATTTGAAGATATCTGGCAAATTGCCAGATCGCGTGGCGACTGAAATCGCGTGAGGTATGTCCCTTGCCTAAAGCCTATTCATCCTATGCTTGAAGTCTCATGTGTGCTTCCTACCCATTATTGCTTTCTGTTATGAAGCTTTTCTACTACCTTCGCTACCAAGCACAATTTTGTGAACGAGTTTAAACAATCAATCAAAAGGCTTCTTGAGTCTCTAAAGGTTGTACTGGCGTGCTACTTCTGTAAGGGTCTTTGACTCGACAGGAAGGATAGTGTAGGTTGCAAAAGACGGCGGGTAAAAGAAACTTTTGACCTGATTGTTCAACCTATCATGAGAATAGCGATATACACCTCATTGAGATCGCAGACCTTCCATTTCCGACTAAATTTGTGCAATATTTGACAGAATTGTGCTAAGAATTCGCAACCTCGTATTCCTGTTAGCAAAACTATAGCTGATGGTTAGTAAAATTACATTCCACTTCCTCTAGCTAAAAGAACATTTTTGCAATGAGATTTATGGAGCTTTAGACGACGCATTACCGCGCTTATATTATCTTTGCATGAAAGTTGTTTCTTACAACAAAGCTGGTGTTTCTCTGGTGAGCTTCGAACAGTGCTGTGATATCAACCGAGCTTTTTGAAATTTATCATATTTCACGAGATCTTGTTTGTGCAGAGTTTTAATCAAGGATTGCACATGGTGCGAGACGACGTATTTACACACTTCCTCAGACAGTCGATGGGATACCTCCGGGGCAAAATGGGGGGGGGGGTGGCTGGGGTCTCCACGGCGGGGGTTCGCCACTCGTTCTCCGGAGCTCTCCCATTTTGTGCTCCGGAAGTCCGCCGCGTCATAGTAACTAGCCCTAAGGTATACTGTAACTAACCCTAATTAAACTGAAAACCAATTATGCTCCTAAACCCCACCCAAATTAGCCCTAGACCAGGGTCAGCAAACGGTGTGGCATACGACCGCCGAATGCGACCCCCCCTCGGGTAGGAAATCAGCACGACCCTCCATCTTGTTCTACCCCCTCCTTCGCACCCCAGCGTTTGTAGATAGCAAGATAGAAAAATGAAGACAAGACGAGACATTTATTTCAAATTAACTGCAAAACAATTTGATTTTGCAAATGCACTTCACTTCGATATCCAAAGCTCATTCTTAGACTCGTCATCGCCCCTCACGTCCTGCTGCTTCCTTTGGGTACTTTCCGCAGGTTTCGTACATGCGCTGTTGGCACATGGCTAAGTATGCAGGAGCCAAGAGAGCAAAAATAAGCATACGATCTTCAAACTAAGGTTTTGTGCAGCGCAGAAAATATAAAATCAGTCAGGAAGTACCTATTTTAAACTTACAACTGAAATTTCAAAATGCACTAATCAATCATCCATTCTTGATAATGTTTTGCTGCTTCTTCATAGTTCAGTCCAGAATGCTGAAATAAAAAGATGAGATATTTATTGGAGAGCTACATGAGATGGAAAGAAAGGAAAGTCGAAAAGCTCCAGCTACCTTTCAGCTTGCACAAGAAAAAAATAGAAAAGAAGATGATATTTGGAAAAATCTTTAAATGGTAGTAACCTGCAAATCGTAAATTTTCCGGGTTCACTTGTTGCGAGTGTACATATAACGATTCCTATGGTGATAGCAAAAACTGAGAGATACTTTCTAAGCGAGTATTTCTTTTTGAGAAATGAACCCTGAACGATAGCTATATGTTTTTGCTTTTTTGAGATAAACAACACTTATCGAACGAAAGATGATATGTAAGTGGCACAGGAACATGAAAGTTTAAGGCTTGGTTATTTGTTAGAATTGCAGTAAATCTGAAAGAAATGAAAAATTGAACAATAAAACAATTGTTGACTCTCGTGTAGTTTCTCACGTCATTCACCAAATCTCACTTGTTATAGGATCAGTCACTTAAAGATATTAAAGATATATATATATAGATATAGAGATATTAAAGATATTAAAGTGTCACACTGCGTAGTATGAGCAGAAAGTGGTGTCATCGAGAGGGTGAAGCAAAGTTTCACAGCAACGCTAGGCGCTGTCGGCTAAAAATTCGTCCAAACTTCACTCAACTACGCTTTCTTTTCTCATAGGTCGCCTGTGTAGTGGCCTATATTTCTCATAACAGTATTATTGGTTACTTGAAAGCATGCAAAGAAACATAAAATCATTCAAAGGTGTTTACTATAGACAAGAACTTTTTTGGAAATAGATCGAGCATTTCTTCCTACTATACTGGGATAATTCAACTCTCGAATTTCCTTACTTACTTTATTTGATACGCTTTTTTATTTCACATTGCTCATGCATAATGGGCCACTTTCTTTGCAAATGCAGACTTTTCATTTCGGCTGTCTCAATGAAAATGTCAAGCTCTAGCGTCTCCGACCTGGCGGCCTTTTGTGACACTCTTATTGAGACAGTCTATAATTTCAGTACTCCACTCCATCATTTCATGTTAGCTATTTGTAGCAAATAACAACATTTATGATCAAAATTTATCACAGTAAACAGCTCGCCTGAGAGGTATTTTATTGGGAACAGAAAAGAACTTTGACGTAAAAACAGTTCTTGAGTAGCAATGAACAAAAAGGTAGAAAATGTCATAAGATTCTAGATGTAGGCTCCGCCCTAAATTGATTGTTTCAGTATGAAAGATAAAGCCGAAAACTCCAAAAAAGGATAAAAAACTCTTTCTAAGCACCTTCACACACATTTCCAGAGTGAACATGCATGACTAGTCGTGTCGGAAAACTATCACAGCTGAAATGCAAGATGATCCGCATGCTGGAATCGATTCGTCTTGCCAAATGAATCGCGAGGCGATATCTCGTGAGCTATGCCCGAGGCCTTAGGCAATTTGAAAAAGATGGAAATAGGGAAACCTGCGTTCTACAAGATACAAATGTGGAGTAAGTTGAAGCTGATCTGTGGATTAATTGGTCATTGTAGATATACGTCTCATCAAAAGAATTGATAAAAGACAGAGACGAAAAAAGGAGAAAAAAGAAAAAACGCAAGAATCCACAAGCCTTGGTGAGTGACGACTATGCGCCCTTGGCTAAACAACACCGGACTTTGAAAACCCATGGCTAAATAACACCGTTTTTTCAAAGTATGCTTGATATTAGAATAATCCGTTATGCACATTCACACATAAAATCTTGTAGAGTCTAAAATCACTAAACGATTACTTTTTTTTATCTGGAACTCATCAGATGACAAATAAACAACATAACCGTTAAATAACGCTTTCACACGAAATAGCCAAATCCCGTACCTAAATTCGTTTGCAAAAGTTAAAGCTACCTAGTAATCCCACAACAAAACCAGTAATTTGGTACCTCACAAGACATATAAAATCAAGGGGCACTTACCTTGATATGGTCCAAAGGGCTGTGCTTGTCAAAAAATTGAAAAGTGCAACCGCACACAATGAAAGAGTGCTGAAAACCGTCTTGATGTTGATGTCTGCAAAGAGTGACGCTAGTGGAAGACGTGGAAGACACTGGAAAGATAATATGTAAGAGCTGAGTAACAAAGACGTAACGGAATACAAAGGATGAGGATGAAAAGGCATAACCAACAAGTGCTGTAGGAAAGAACCATAGCCAAAACCAATCAACATCAGCAAGGAGACGCTACCGCTAACTAGCGTGTGAGCGAGTGGTTTTGGGCAGATTGGCAGCGCGCCAGCTCTCCGAGGGTCTCCCAAATTTAGGGCACCTCCGGAGCACAGATTTGTGAGTTCTTCGGTGGACTCGTTTTTGGCTCCTATGTGAAGTCATCACGAGTGGACCGCCCTCGTCCCACCCCTTAATGATTAAGAGCGCCCTCCGGAGGTGTCCCATATTTGAACCGCTTCCCGGAGGTATCCTATCGACTGTCTGAGTAGCTCGAGCATCGAGCGCTTAGCCTCGATGTCAGTATAAGCATTACAAGAATTTCAAGTCAACGAGGAACACAAACGAGAGTGATGATTTAACCTCAGCCCCACTGTGATTATCGCAGCAGTGTTGTGATCCCCTGTCAAATGTATAGAGGAAGACGATCTCCCACATAATTAGCACTTACTTTGTCTGTTGTTATATCAATGCATATCCTTCTTCCTAACGGGCTGCCGCTTTTTATTCCCGCAATAGTCCCATCAACGCAGACATTGACAGACTGGCCATTCTTTTATATCCTATATTACGTGGAGTTGTTTTTTATAATTATCATGTGTCCTGGAGCGATATGGCTAGTTTACGCGTTGAGAAGATTGGAGCGAATATTTCATAAAAACCTAATAAAAATCGCACAGGTAAATACTTTCGTAAATGGAATAATTCGAATTCCTTTGAATAAAGGAAGATTGATCTTAGTCATTTTTTGCACACAGTGTGGTTCTTAGCTGTTCAAGCTCTTCTATTTTATCAATTATTTCGTTCCTTAACTGGTCATCACTTCCCTTTGAACTCTGATAGCTTTTTGGATGCTTGAGAAGAGACAATAGAAGTTGTAATAATAGTAATGTATCCATTATTTGGTCGATGATTATTCTTGTCTTAATTCCTTTCGCGCAAGAAGGGAGCGTTCTGGCAGAAATTGAAGATTTCGCTTGCTTGGGCGTATTTCTCTAGCTGATTCCAAAAATGCACCTTGCGATGCAAAGAACACGGGCTCTTCTCAAAGTTCTTGACTTTGAATCTGGTCATATAAAGGAGGCGCTATCGTGATAAAGCGTGTCGACGGTTGTATCTGTTCAGACGCTGCCTTTATGGTATCATAGTGGAGGACCAACTTCAGTGAAACTGACATTTGAAAAAAGCATTAATCTTTTCGTTACCGCAGGACAACCTTGAAGGCAGTGGCTCAGAAAAATTGCAGCTGCGAGCTTTCCACGTCTACATAACCTTCTGGATACACTGAATCCAGTGCTGTAGTCAAAAAATGCTTTTTACGGCAAATCTTTACCCGGGAGATAGTTGGAGGGGATGGGCGAGGGATTCCCGCCAACATCCAATTGGCTGCCTGAGCCGATCAGCCAATTACCGCCAAAATGGGTGGAGTTACAGTGTCCTGCAGCCAGTCGCCTTTTACGGCGGAAATCCCTCGCCCATCCCCTCCAGCTATCTCTACGGTAGAAAAACGCCGTAAAAAGCCTTTTTTGACTTTTCAACCACAGCACTGGGCTCAGCGCATCCAGAGGCCATGTAGGTCTGGAAAGCTCGCAGTCGCAATTTTCCAAGGCCACTGCTTTAAGAGCTCCTAGCCCCTCAACAGCATTCAGGATAGCTGCCATTTTGAGATTCGGAGAGAACTTCGGAGCTTCAATAATGAGCTCTTAGATACTTTCATATCAAAGTTTTATGCCGCTCTTTGAGGAGGATTAAGTGATATATTCAATTTCGGCGTGGCCGAGAAAACGGCTGTTGCGGAACAAAATCAATGAGATTTGACTAATCGTGTAAACAAATTTCAGTATTTTGGTAGTCTTTAACGCGGAGCTCCGGTTTCGATGGAGTCTACCCTTAAATGTTCTTATCTTGAACATTCAGTCTAATACATTTTTTGCTCAATACAATGTGCCTGCTGTGTCGATTTGCCGCCAAACTTGCGTGTGAAGAAATAGCTGCGCCTGCAATCCCGGTTACTGCGCGCAAATTGAAGCTCGCGCGAAGTTCGGCTGCAAAATCTCGGCACCGTGAGCGCAATGCATCAGCGGAAAATGTTTTTGACGCAAACAAGGTCAACTGGTTAACTTTTATACCATAAACTTAAGTTCAACCAGCCTTTTGAAAGCAGTAGAGTTATTCGATCAGAGATAGTACATTTTGAGCCATCTTCATGAGGCTCTGCTGAGTGTTATGAGTAAATACAGTTTCTGCCCTCGACATCAAAGCACAGAAAACTCGATTCCACTTCTAAAGTGGTTAAGAAAAAGCAAGCTAAAATCTCTTTTTTCTGCCATCTCCATTTGTCACATTCCTGCTTCTGATAAATCTTCAAAGTCTACTTACGCCAGCAAGAATCAACAACTATGCTTAGTTAACCCGAACATTGGTAACTATGTCTCAAAGCCTGTGCTAACATTTGCTTCGGTTATGCGAAAGTCACACTAATTGTATGTTTTATAATTGCGATGAACGAACTAGTCTAGCATTAACACTTAAAATGTAGATCGTTCAGCCCAAACACGTTGTTTGCTCAAATAGTCAACACTTAACTAAAGCTTTTGTTGAACGTAGTTGAATTTTGAGGTATAAACCATCACTCGAAAGAAATAATACCTACTATATTCTGAAAAAAGTCTAATCATTTTCTAAGCAGATATTCAGGCCCACCTCATCGCCTTCACACTATCACAATGCTCACGAATTTGTATCATGTTCTATGACGTCGAAGTAGTTGGCAAGAAGGGTAAGCAAGCTTTTCGTTCGCAACATTGGTTTATGTTCCAACTCACGTAGTAACACTCAGTACGGCCGCGATTGTTAGCCTATTGGTCATATCACATTTAAAGTGCCTTTTATCTCAACGTACGTTCCTAACCTAAAGCTAAGCGTTGACCTCTACAAACAAATTCTATGGTGCTAAGTTACAGCATGCAAGAATCGAGAAGATTTGATGAACGGTACAGAGATTTAAGTGGTTGCGGTTTTTGATCTGCTGACTGACTTATATGCAAATTGCGGGCTATTCGGGAAGGAGAAGGAATTAAAGGAAATCAAAAAGCGGTCCATAATCTTCTAGTAGTCTTATCTCCCTTCAAGTTGCTCCATATGTAATGATTCTGCAAGGTTTGCTTTGGATTGCTTCAATAAATGATCTTCCGTCTAAAACCCAATCACACTCATAGAAGCGGACTCTAATAAAAGGACTCTGCTCAATATATAACTACTTACAAGGGAATGGTCAAGATTCGAAGTGGCCAATCCCAGCAAGCCGTATACCCTTGAACACTCCTTGGAGGGATAGTTACATATCCGCCTTCGGCATCTGCTTATCGGTTCCTATACAAATTAATGAACCTCGATTCCGCCGTGGCGCCGCCGCCGTCATAGATACTAGTCGCCCGTCGAGAGGATAAGCTAAATTCGTAGCGCAGTGTAAGTGTGCAGACTAAGATAAGCTCTGATTTCCGTTTGCAATTTCGATCCCTTTTGCTTGTTACTTTTTTGCAACCCATGCCCAATATCTATATTGTTAGCGCGAAGTCTCTCATGCTTTTGAAAAGGTAATTCGACATCTGAAGGTTTCGAGTCTATTGCGTAAAGAAGAAACACATTTTCTGTTTGTCAGTTTCAACTCCCTCTTCCTTGCTGCTTGCTTCTGTTCGTTCTTGCATTCCTATTCATCAACATTTCCATTCTTACTTTCACCATGATCATCCTCAATTTGCAGGAGAGTTTGAGTAATGAATGAATTTCTGAAGTCTTTAGATGTCGAGTCACCTTTTCAAAAGCGTGAGGGACTTCGGGCTAACAATGCAGATATTGGGGATGGGTTGCAGAAGAGTAACAAGCAAAAGGATTCGAACTTGTAAACAGGAATTGGTCCTCATCCTATTGGTCTGCGCAATTGCCACTGCGCTATAAGTCCGACTTGTCATCTAGACGGGCGACTAGTATTTATGACGGCGTCGGCGCCACGGCGAAATCGAGGGCTATAACTTCGTAGGAGACTGATAAGCAGATATTGAATTGGATATGTAACCACCTCTCCATGGAGTTTTCAACAGTATACGGCGTGCTGGGATTGGCCACTTCAAATTTTGAACATTCCCTTGTTAGCTAAACCGTAATAAAATGATGTTTCTACGCTATGAAATAAACGCTTTTGCTACTTCAGGTACAATGGACATGATCCTATTCGTCCTCTACCTCATAAGATATGTGCCGCTGTGCTGTATTCTGACTATGTTTCCCGCTATCATAGTAGAAAGAACTTTTGCTTCGCGATATATCAGCGATTATGAGCATACCGACCGATCCTGGATTTCGTATTTGGTGATAACAGGCTCTTTACTGCTTGCTGTGATTTACTACATCGTCGTTCAATCATTCTTTGTCGGTGAGCTTTTATATCTTTTTTTGAAAGATGTTTTTAAGACTAATATGATATTTCTGGATTGTTGGTGTAATTGCCAAGCTATTCATAATTTATGCGAGTTTTAGTTACCGCTTCCTTCGAGCACTGGTATACAAGGTAACCGATTTTTTTCAAAATTCGTATCTCCTAAAACACGTTTTTTTCTTTTTCAAAAGCCTTCGCCTACCCTAGATCTTTGTTCATTCCGAAGTTTCAAGCTTTCGAGGTAAAGTAAGCTACCCAAAAATTCCTTCCTTTCGTCTTTGTCAAATCCAAGAAAAACTGCTAGATGTACTACTGAAAAGCAGAAACGATTGCGAGATTTTTTGCCAAAGAATGGTTTTGAAGTATATATATGAAATACTGAGCAAAAACTGTTTGCAGACCTAATGCACCAGAGCGAGAGAGACCTATATATTCACTTGTACAAAACACTAAGGTTTTCTTACTTTCCAGGGCAGAAAAATTGAAATTACAAAGGTGGGCAATTTCCTGAACACTCCATAATGTCAAAAAATTAGCACTTTTCCTTTTTGCAACATTTTTTCTTAAAAAAAAATCCGTGAAATTTGAGCTTGGCAACAGTGCTTATCCGACCATTGGCTATAATGTGCGCAGTTTTTGGCACTACAGGTCAGATTAAGTTGTTTCTCAAACGACATTTTCCGAATAACTATTTTGGCAATCTTTGGACTAAAAATCTTTTTCATAATAGATACAGCCATTTGCACTAATTTTTAGAGATGTTTAGAGAGAACATAATAAAAGTTATCTTGGGTTGAGATTATATCATTGAAAACTTGCATTAACTTTGAATCTAACATTTACAATTGACCGTGCCGCATGTCAGATCACTGCTATTTTAGGCATGTATCCTATGGTTCTCTTCACGATAGTTACCTTGTCTATCTGTGTGCTCTCGTCAGTTGTCATGAAAGTAATTCATGGACGTGATATGGCTAAGTTCAGCGATCTAGCGAATCAAACTGGCCGCTCAACGATCAACTACACGTTAAGCATAAAATTTCAATTAGCGGAGAACTTGCGCGTTACAAAGGTAAATATTTTTTGTCTTGAAAAATGATTCTTCGTTAGAAAAATTGATATGGAAAGGAGAGGTGAAAAAGGGCTAGGTAAGAAGTCCCATGTAAATCTGTTTGAATTCTTATCAATCAAGAGTCTTAGTAAAGAGTACTACCTAAAATGCAATGCGCTTGTGATATCCGATAATGAATTTTGGTCGCAGATCCGCATGTCTGACCAGCCACACTTTTTGTATGAATCTATAACTTCGGCAGTGATTATGCGAGCACTATGTCCCAAGTTACAGTATGTAAGAAGTCACAATGTTTAAGCGGGAGTCCGATAATTCCATAGGACTGACATGCTTAGGTAAGCAGTGGTGATGTTCACAATGAGGATTTTTTGTTAATTAATGTTGAGAGGTGCGAGAAACCTAACCAATGCTAACTGCGGGACTTTTTTTCCTTTCATTTCCTCAACCAGTAGCAATTGTAAAAAAATTTTCAAGGAGTGAAAGGAAACATGATTGAACTATCTTTAACGAAAAGTTCTACACTTAAACGAGTTCACTATAAGACTAGGCTGCTATAAAACTGTGTTTGAAAGGCATACTAATTGCGGTTGTTATTGGCTTCCAAGCACTAGATTCAAAAATACGGCAGTTTTGGATCTTACATTTGCCCAGTGGTTTATCTCTTGATGCTTCTCCTCAAAACTTAGGCGATTACAAGCAAAAAAGGTCGCTAACAGCAGCTTTTGATAATCTTACCAGAATTCTTCTCCTAAAAAGTATAGGGAAAGGTTGCCCTCAACCACTTGGTGGATCAAGAATGAGAGGTGGGGGGGGGGGGGGAAGAGATTTTGTTATCGATCATTGACTAACTCTGCTTGAGTCGTTAAAGCTTGTTGTACTAGAGCATTGTTTCTCATCCCGTACGCCGTTGTCTACATATTGTCTATAATTTTACAGTGGCTTACCTATGCGTCCATCGGCTATACGATTTGGGGAGGTGTTGCATCTTTCTTGTGCATTCCTCCATTTTTGGTATTCGATGGGGACAGCCCTGTCGGACAGCTTTTCTACGAGACCTTTAACGTCTATTTCGCCTTGTAAGTCATCTGTCAGAGCAAGCTCAAGCTGCAAAAATGCACTTGCTTTGGGTTGAAACTTTGACAGTTGATCGAAAGCTGACTCGGATACTTCATTCAGAACATTTGCCATTATTGCCTGGACATCTCTATGGACAACTGGGGAGTTACAACGTTTAATGGTCAAACTACCACGATTATGTTATTCGCTTCACGTCTCTAATTCTGAGGATTTGAATCCAGGCACTACTAGAAATGACGATATTGTACTCGCAACAGAGAATTATTTCAAACAACTCAATTCTGTTTGGTCCCGTACATAAGATCTAGTTTATCTGCAAGCTTAACACTTTGCTTGAATTTTTAGCTTAATTATGGTTTGCCCATTGATTAAAACTTACGTGAATTATATACCACACAGGCTATATATTTCAAATTCAATTACTTGTCGAAAAAGTGGTTATAAATCAAAAATATTAGGTCGCTCCGAAAGTTCGCGCTGTTTTTCAGACCCATGCTCAAACCACTTAGAATGAAGATAGACAAACGCTGTGAGCATTATCCGATGCAGAATCTCTTCCTCTTTTCAATGTCTATGTTTTCGGTTGATGAGCACCGAGATAATCGCCGAAAAATAGAACCTATCATTTTTACCATGTCTAACTTTCGCTAATTTTTAGAATTTTCATTTTGAGTTTTTGAAGGCGCTCTAATAACCACCTGATAGGGCAAACCTTTCGCAAATCAATGCAACTTTTTGCATCTCTTTGGCATGCTTTCTAGAATTACTAACATTTAGTTTCTGAAGTGATCAAATTTTACATTTGGCTCATTCTAACCTCGCAGGACATCAGCTGAATAGTTTTGATGCATCTTTTCCTCTTCTTTCTGACAGTTACCTTTTCTTTGCGAAACATGTGACTTTTGCAGACAAAATCGCTGTAATTCCCAATTTTACGGGTGCGCAAGGGTGTAGTGGCAATTCCAAAATCAATCCATTTTCACGCCGTAATCGCTCATTTCGTTATACTAGTGATAGTAATAATTGAGTTCCAGAACTTCAATAGTTTGGGGATTTCGCTGTGTTTGATGCATTTATGTGTCTCGCGATTTTTTCAAAATTCAATGGTCTCGTGAAATAATTCAGCAAAAATCTAAAGAGGAGGCTGAAATAATGCAAAAAATTGCATTAATTTGCAAAAGGTTTGCCCTATCAGGTGCTTATTAGAGCGCCTTCAACTCAAAATGATTCTAAAAATTAGCGAAAATTAGACATGGTAAAAAAGATGTGTTCTAGTTTTCGACGTTTATCTCAGTGCTCATCGAAATAGACATGACGAAAACATAGCCACTGGAAAGAGGAAGAAATTCTGCATCGGATAGTGCTTACAGCTTTGTCTACCTTCATTCTAAGTGGTTTGAGCATGGGTCTGAAAAACAGCGCGAACTTTCGGAGCGACCCAATAATTGCATAATCGATGCTGCATTATTGCACTCCTCAGAGTGTTGAATGAGGCTAATATGTTGCCACATTGAACGTTTGTGTTTGAGACCAGCTGCATTCATTTGATGCGCTGCGACTACAGAATCTAGCCTATACTTATGGTATCTGGAACATTACTTCGGTGCGAAGAGAATTAGGCTACAACGATGAGAGGTGAATCGGCGGTGGATTCACTCGGCATTCCAGACATAAATGAAAATTAATATGATCCAAAATGGCACAGTTGTGGTTTCAAGATGCATAGGACGCAGACGTGCGCATTGTGATAATGTGTTTCATAAAAAATCAAAGAGTGAGCATGCCAAATTAATGGTTTTCTAAAAAAAAAACAGAAGTTACAGGCAGGAGGTGAAGGCTAGATTCGAGTGGTGTTAAAAATGTTGAAAACTGACGAACATCTGAAAGTGCGCAGTTATTGAGGAAGATGACTTGTGACTCTGGAACTGTGAACTAACAAACTGTTATATCATTGCTTGGGATGATCGTTGAAAGACAGTAAATAGAATATAGTGGGAAGCATTTTACAAACCGCCAGTACAACCAGACTTCAATGTTTCTCAAAAAAAGTGTATTCGTAAAATCTGATGTTGGCTCAACTTTGCTTCTACTCATTGCCTAGAAATTTTGGTTTGGCTTCTGTTTTAATGACACCGTACCGTGGGAATTTTTGATAATGCTTGGTCATGCTCTAATTTTCAACTTCTGGAAAGGGGCCTAAGTTACGATTTTGTCTTAGGGAGCCTTCGCAGATCGGTCGACATATATCTTGCTGGTCGTGCCAAACTGCGTAACTATTCTCGCTCCCGCACCGCCTCTCTTATCTGTATACTACAACGGCACGCCATTGATTATCAACATAAGTTGGGAAAGAAAAGGTGACAAAGAGAAGAACTTTGTGGAGAACGCTTGATATCTACGAGTAATTAGAACTCAAAGTTATACTAGCACTAACCGTTACAAGCAATTGAGGTAAACCTTTGCACGCTGTAAAGTTCGACATTAGCGGAGATTTTAGGCTACCTTTTGTATTTCACATATGTATTCAACTTCAGCGGAGATTTTAAGCTGGTTTTTGCCGCGTTTCGTTGGCTCCTTCTATCAACTCATTGGTTTTCGACACATTGCAGGAATGGTAATTTGTCAATGCTTTCTTCCACTTTCGTGTAAACATCAGCAGTACAGCTCATTTTCGCTTCACGGCAATATTTGCCTCATCCGGGTTGCCTGTTCAACTGTTCTTTCTTTATGAGTATAATTAGGAGGGGTTCTTAAGCTGATGGGTAGGTTACTCGCAGGGCTGTTGATTGTGACGCTTATACTGAGTGAACTAGACAACAGAGATAGTCATACAGCGGATCCTGACTCCTGATTCAAACCTTCACCAACTCAGTGGCACGCGCTAAGCTTATTTATTACATCCACTTCTCCAAATGATAAGTTATAAATGCCGCGTTTTGTTCCAAAACAGATAAAGCGGATTAATTAGGATATGGCGTTGCCAATAGCTTTTGTAGAGCATGCCTCTGTTTCTCAGAGCCTCAAAAGCTATAAGATGCGCCGATAACTCAGCAAATTTGTTTATGGCAACAAACTTCGAATAAATACAGGGTGTCCGTAAAGTATGTATACACTGTTTGATCGTTAATATCTCTTTTCCCAAGAAGTTTTTTGCATTGCTTCAGGTACCATTTTGTAGAGCTGGCTTCAACTTAGATTTCAGTATGGAGCGAAACATTCATCTCTCTTCGTTACTGTAGGATTACGGTGGAAACTTCAAAGAGGGTTTTGAGCCATAAAAAGCCATATTTTGCCTCAGAAAGGAAATAAAACAGTCTAAAAACTTTTACATTAGGCTATTTAGACTTGCTGATTCTAACTGTAAAGTTCCCAACTCATGATGATGCTTCATTGAAGAATTATGCCAGGTAAGAGGTAGCGGCCATTTTTCAATGTTCCTAAAGAGTGCGGTTACACCGTTTAAAAAGCTTCTCAATCTTGTGAATAGTTGAGTGTTGAACTCAGCGTCCATAAAAACCCTATTACACAAGTTTTCACATTATTTTGAAAAATTTTGAAACGGCAGCTTTTTCCACATTGACACCATATGTTTCAAGTTTCTACCGTAATCCTACAGTAGTGAAAAGTGATGGGTGATTCGTTCTATACTGCCAAATCTAAGTTGAAACCAGCTCTACAAAATGGTAACTGAAGCAAGGCAAAAGACTTCTTGGGAAAAGAGATATTAACGATCAAACAGGTATACATACTTTACGGACACCCTGTATATTCCTAAGCGCTATCTGTTAATCCTACATGCATGCGAGTCAGCAGATACTTCTTTGTCTCTACTTCGGTTTTCATTACGCGGAAAGAAAGAACTTTGTGTCGTGTCTTTCAATTTATTCAAATGTTGCATCATTCTGAAACATCATTTACACCTATTCACTTTTCTATCACACGTAATTGACACACTCCTGCTAGTAAACAAAAAAGTTGTACGCCCCTCACAGTGATTAATATCTACCTCACAAGTGATGTTGTTTCTACTCCCAAATGGTATGCAACTTTTTGTTCCCGCTATATTCCCAACAAAGAATGCTCGGGAAGAGTTGTCAGTTTTTAATCTATTGTACGTCTTGGAACTACTATTTATATTCGCAATGTATCCAGCATTTATACTTCTAATCAACGTTCTGCGAAAATCTCGGCTGTTTCACAGAAATCTTAGACAAGTGGTACAGGTGATTTGCTGTTTAGAAGAAATTTCACTCTAGCATGAGGATTTCAACAGTTGGATCCGGAATTGAGAGTGTTCTGAACCGCAGCAATGACCAAATTTAGATGCTTATGGTTCGACTGTCAAACCGATTTCATAGTTTGTTTCATGAGTACCTTATACCAAATATCATGAGAATTCAAAGAAAAATAGTATATGCAGTTTGAGTTTGTTATAAATGCTGTTGCAATAGTTCTCAGTCCTTTTTCTATAGAGTCATCTATTTATAAAACTAATCAATCGTCGATCTTCCACATCCTCCGTGCAACGATGTATGGAGCAGGTGGAAGATCGGGGAAAAATAGTTTGCGTAAAAAGGGCTCCGCACGCAAAAAGTGCTTCGAAGAAAAGTGCAACCTATTGCAATCAATTACAAAAAACTTGAAGCAACCAGCGCTGAGAATTTGGGCAGTATAACTTTACGTTTCAAGTTGGATAGACAAACCAAAAACTGTAATGTAACTACAAAATTGAGTGCAGCTCTTAACGGTCGCTAAAATAGATTATGTCCTTGCAGGTTAAAATGAATATCACCTTGTTCCAGGTTCACCTCTTCATGTTTGCTTTATCAGAAACCTCTCGAATCTACATCGTGCTTTATCTACATCGTGCTTTATGATGCGGGTCTAAATAGAACAGAACAGTAAGATTGTTCAAGCAAAGATTCTAAATGAAAACGCAATATTTGTTTTGAGTGAAGATTAGCATAGTATCTTGACCAATAGAGAAGTCATGTATCTAAATGTCTTTAACATTCAGAATCGTTCAATTTGCGTGAATATAAATATAATATTAGGTCATTCGGAAAGTTTTTTCGTTTTCGCACTTTTAAATTCAAGAGCACAACTTTTTCCAGATCCCATCTTTTTCTTCCAAAGAAATTTCATTGTGTTCAGCAGAATTCTGTTAACATTATTGTAGTGTTCATGTGCTTTTTTCTTGCGAAATCATCTTAAGAGAATCAATAAAACCAAAAAAGGCATTTTTGACAAGCTAATATTTATTTGGTCCTATTATTTTTCAATAGGCACCGAGGAATTGGAGAATTTGGTGGCTGGTAAAGGAAGGTCCACAGGTTCGAAAAATGAACAGGAACCTCGGTG